TCTGTATGTTTGAAAAAATCTAAAAATTTTATTATTATAATAGATTTTTTTTTTTTTAGATTTGAAAAAAAAATACAGAAAAATTATATTTGCTCTTTATATTAATATACTAACAATACCTATTGTTTTTGAAGTATGTTAAAAAAATCTCTTTGTTTAGGCAACACAGACTTGCACAATTATGAAGTTTTGTTTTGTGAAAATAATGTTGGGGTATTTTATTCTGCCAATATATTTACTTTTTGAGTTATTCACCTAAATTTTATTATGTACTTTGTAGTTATTGTGATGTGTTTTCACATTTGAGATTTTTTGCCATGTTTTGATTATTTCTCTACCAATACGGAAATAAAACTACAATTCTGATAGTAATCACACCTTTCAAAGTTGTACATATTTTTTCTTTTAGTGTGTCCTTCTAAGTACTATTCTTCTACTACATATGTGTAGGAGTCTTTCTCAGGGCCTTGAAAATACCTTATCTAATTCTAATGTCTAACAATTCTATACATAACATGAAATAAATAATGTATACATGCTTGAGGTTTAAATAATTACAGCAGTTTCAAATTACCGTATTACCTCAAATGTGCTAAGGAAAAAATTATATGGTACTTAGTAAACATTGCTTAGCAAAATATATATTGCACAGCAACTTCCCTAATTTGTGTAGCAATTTCTGTAGCATCTATATATGATTGTTTACAGAAGGTTGAAGTAAATAAAATATTCATGAAAACTGACAACCTGTTTCATTTTGTACTGTATATATATCACCAGAATATTAATAATATTAAATTAATAATACTGAAAATAAGCATCATAGCATGCATGATGTAATACAAAACTGCAACTGTTACTTTTTGTTAAAATTACTTTCAGCAACCTGTAAACATTTCAATGTTTAAATATTTTAGACACAGGTGGCTTGAACTGTATAACAGAAATAAAAAGGGGAATAAAATATTAGAGGATGCTTCTCTCAACAATTAAAAACATTTTGCTACATGATTTAAAGAGTTGTGATCTTCATTAATGCCACGCTTATAACAACAAATGGTCAACATTCAAGAAATAATTCATGGGTTATAATTAACATAACAACTACAACCTCATGTGTTACCGTGAGAAATATTTTATTTTTCTAAATACAAATTTTCAGTCATGCATTTTTATAAATTTGAAGGAACAATATTCATGTAGAAACTTTTAGTAATTTTAACATCAACAGAATTTTAGCATTGCTTAACTTACAATGTTTTTGAACTTTGTTTACTTTTATTCCCAACAGAGAATTATGTGCAAAACTGTGAAAATTATTTCTGAATATGTTAAACAAAGATCTTTTTAAGGAGACAGAAATATTCACAAGTTTAACAAGAACAATTAACCTGTCCTTAACAAAGAAGAGAAAATGTATATACTACTGAATTACACAAATCACTGTTTGGTAGAGAAGTAAAATAAATGTTTTTCTCCTAAACTGTCTGAAAGCATTTCAAGAGCCTTCTATGCAAAACTGACTTTAGGTTAGAAAAATGGCAACTTGTATTAAACATTTCAATGAATACTTCTTAAAAGTTTTTCCCTGAAATGGAAAGAGTTCATGTATAGATCTTTTTACGTGTGATTTATAGGGATTACTGTGTTTACGTCAGATTAAACAAGGAATCACATCAGTTTCTTATGTTCTCTGCTTGAAACACTTAAAACTGATTTCACTATGTCAAGAAGTAAAGGCTTTCACTCAGACTCGTGCCCTATATGATATTTATATCCTCATGAAAGAGGAAAAATCTTCAATCTCTTTGAAGTTCCAAATGTATCAGTTTACTGCTTATCCATCATAGTAACTCGAACAAAATTAATTTCTGTTATGGAAACACATTACTGATAAATCATTTTTCATAGCCTTCTAAAAGTTTCTTACATACATACACAACAAAAATATTTAACCACACCTATCTACCTATACATAAAGTTTTAATCCAAACAATGGTGAATATTTTATCAAATTGCCAGTTAGTGTAGGATAAAAGACTTCAGCACTGTTTTATCCTACAATGATTTTCTTATAGGATGTTGAATTTTAGTATTTCCTTATGGCCTCCTGAATATTTAACTAACATTATTATTATTATTCAACCTATTTTACCATACAATGTTTATAAAATGTAACACAATTCAATTTATACAAGACCTCAATAAAAACTGGAAAACAATTTCATATGAACACACCTGCCTGATGATAATGAATAGAAGGAAAATATTCATTCATGCCCGAAATATTACAAAAACATATTTTTAGTGTCAAATGAAGCACTTCATTTAAAAACAAAAGTTGCAAATCAATGCTGAAACAATGCATTCTAATCTTTATAAGCAGAAATGTAAGAAAAGTATATAATTAGCTATACTGAATGCCAGGTTGATTTTTAGTTCTATTTGAAGTACATAGCTTGCTGTGACTGGAAGTTAATATTAATGAATGTTTTTATAAAATATTTTTACCTGAGATCTGACTGTGATCCGGTATCTTTCTTCTTTAAAAGATGATTCTGAAACATTTCTGTACAATCTGTAACTTTTCTTTCTTCAATTGGAGAGTTCTTGGCTGTTTCAACTTCTACTGTTTCAAAACTATCTACTTTACAAGCCTGAAAAGCAAGACTAGATTCCTTAAAATAGCCAATCTTGTTTATAGAAGTATTGTTGGAGTCATATATAGATGTTTCAGAGTTTTCTGATTTTGGAGAATCTAGCTGTAGTGAAAGACTGCAAGAATTTTCTTGGTGTTGGTCATTAATGCGAGGTGTTTCTTCACCTTCTGGGACTCCTCGTTCTTCCATCCAAACTTGGGTCGAATCTTCCTGTTTTCTTATTTTTGTTGCTAAACCTACCATGTTATGTGGTTCCGAGGGTCTTAATAACTCAGTATCAAACTGAGGAGGAATGTCAAGTACTTTCAGGGAATTACTTATGTTCTTGGTTTGTTCAAAGTCATCATCCAACTCCAGATTAGATGGAGTTTCACAACACATCCCAGAATCTCTACTATACCTGTTACAAGAGAAGCCATTTTGTTCCTCTCCTGGCTTATTCTCAGTAAGCAGATTTTGTTTCTCAACATTAGGAATAAGGTCAGTACTAATATATCCAGTCTTGGATATTACTTTCTTACGTCTGCGAACAACTTTAGTGCGTATTATTTCAACATCAGTGGTGTCAGAAGAAGCAACATCACTATTAAGAGGATCCATATCAATGATATGTTGTATTCTAGCCCTTTCCTCTGGTGGAGTTGCTTTTGGAGTAGCATTATCATCCATCTCTGCATGGACCTCAACTTCTATGACTTCAGCAACATCATTTTCACAAGTAACTTCAACAGCATTCTCTGGGCATACAACACCTGAATCAAACTCTTGAAAACTTCCCAGTGAACTAGAACTAGGCATTGTTCCCTAATGAAATAATAGCATGTTCAAACACCAATTATTAACAAGAAATTTAGAGCAATTTAATTAAACTACTAGTGAAACGTGTTGAGATTTGAAATATTTAACTCAATTCACATTATTATCTAACCAATCTAATATTTGACAACTGAAATATGTCCCCTCTAAGAGTTCTTTTAAAACTAAAAACCATTTCTGTGAGTACTTACCCCACATTCAAAGACTTTTAATTAGTCATCCTTGTGATACTTAAACCTGAATAATAACCATGAAAAATTTTAAATCATAAATGAACTGAGCCATAATATTTCTTTTTAAACTAAGGACCAAATTTTGGGTTCCTCTGAAACAAACCTTAAAAACTGAGGTTAACTGTTCCTTACAAAACCTTGCTAGTGAAATATGATGTTAATAATAGAAGTAAAAAAGTCAAACTTTTATACAGAATAAATTAGAGAAAACCTACAACAAATAAGATAGTACCTTCAAGATACAAGCTAATAAGTGACAAAAATCAGTAAATTACAAGTTTTTCTATCATTTTCCTCAGCTGTCAGTTCCTTGGAGAACAAAATTAAAAATAAACTTTTGACTATTTTGACTAATCTTAAACCAGCAGATAAACCAACATTAAGAAAACTAAGAAAAATTGGAAACAAAATAAATCCTATTATACCAGTTACCTCTTGCAAGAAAAAGTTAAATCAGTTCTTCAAAAATTAAATGCTGTAAAAAAAGAGAATGCTGATATATCTTATCAATGGAACTGTAAATATTGTGATGCTTTATATATATGTATATACTAAACCACCGTGACCAGTTTGGTTAACCACTATTCAGAGCTTTTGAAAAATTCAAGCTAATTTCGATATTGCACCAAAATGAAGGTTTATTTTGAGATAATTTAATTAAATATTTCAATCCAATCGTGTTATTCATAATTCAAGAAAAGATATTTGATTGTTGTCATCTTACGGCTTTTAATGAAGATGGGAACATTGACAGGGAAATAATATAATAGCCAATGTCCGGCGAGAGGTTTTCGTTTATAAAACGATTTGATTATTATTTTATTACCTCGTCTCCATAGTTACTATTTGCAAATAGTCAATAATATTGTAGGTCCATTTTATTGTTGTTCTTTCTACGCGCCGTTATAACACATTTTTGATCTCATCATTTAATTTCTGTTGTGCATATATTGTTGTATAAACAAAGTTTTATAATAATGGAATGTACTAAAAGTGACCAGAAAAACGGGGCTAACTCTGTAACCCATGGCCCGATTTTAACGAAACTTGTTTTATTCTGTTTCTATTCTCACTTCATTACAAATATGGCACTTTTGTGTGCTGTTTTTGCTGTATTTAATTACAGACAAGCACTCACAAAAACAATCTTAGAGTTTTAGTAGTATATAGATAGATATATATATATATGTGTATAAATAAAAAAACATATATAATTAAAAATGCACTTACAGTGAGATAATTAATCTCCATCATGATTCTGAACACCAAAATAACTATATAAACCACCACTGTTTTTAAACAATTTGTTTTTTGAATTTTGTGCAAAGCTACATGAGGGCTATCTGCTCTAGCCAACCCTAATTTAGCAGTGTAAGGCTAGAGGGAAGGCAGCTAGTCGTCACCACCCACCGCCAACTCTTGGGCTAGTCTTTTACCAATGAATAGTGGGATTGACCACCACATTGTAATACCCCCATGGCTGAAATGGTGAGCATGTTTGGTGTGACGGGTATTCGAACCCACGACCCTCAGACTGCGAGTTGTGCGCCCTAACCACCTGGCCGTTTTTAAAGAGAAAGCTAACTTAAGGTAATAACACGTATAAAATTAAAAATTACGACAACAGTACTTTAAAAGACTAGGAAACCTAGTTTACAAACATAAAAAAAACCTACACCCCACATCTCTTTGATATTTGCTTGATTGTTTTATATCCAATAACATAGTTCAACGAATTGCATAAAATCTGTGCTTGCAGTTGAAGATGTTTTTTAATTTCATGGTGTTGGTGAAACATTGTATTTTGATTAGATCTCAACTTTCAAGCAAAAACAACATTAAGCTTACAATTTTCACTTTCTCCAGGAGTAATCAAAAATGTTTTCATACTATACAGACTTTTGACGGATGAACTGTACCTCTGAGTCCATGTCCAGGCTCCATGATGATGCTGAATCTCGTTTTTTGGCTTTTCGTTTTGATGATAAGAACTCTGGAGTGTCAAGACTAAGTATGTCCTGTAATTTATTGTTTATGCTTAAAAACAAATTGCATGACTGTCATGTATATTTTCAAAATTTTAAATTAAAAGAAAATAAAATAAAACTACACACATGCACATATATATATATACCTTACAGGGATAAAAAAACTAAATCTTAGTAACAAAACATTTTTGTTGAAATATGAAATCTGGATTTTAAGGAAAAGGTGGAGTGTTTACATAAAATAACATTGTTAGTCTTTTATATTACCATATTAAAAATAAAATTGATGATATATTAAGCTAAGTACGGATTTGTACACCATAAGAAAGTACACTGGTGTTTGTTTAAATATATTTACCATAAGAATATTATGGGTAGAATGTATTTTTGCACACAAAAATAAGTTCAAATAAAAGAAAGTTTTTGATGCCAAATTTGTAGCAAAAACAAATAAATATGAAACTCAGATGTTGTTTTAAGATTATCAAGACTTTATTTAAAACCAACCACATGCACACTGTGTACTAGATGCATTCTGGACACAAGAGCTATATTTAAAGGAAACCCAGAATAGAAACTCTTGTAGAAACAGTAATGTAATTGAACATTTAGTTTGTTTAGATACTAAAGAAATTCAGTCATTTTTTGAAGAATGTTTTGCTTGAAATTGAACATAATGATAAAAAATTATAAAAATTATATTTTTGTGAATTTTAACTTTCCTCAAAGCTTAAAATGGTTCTAAAAGAATAAACCTTTATATTTTTTAAGCCTATAAATATGAGACTCCTATAAACTACAAATAAAACCTTGGATTAACATTTTTGAAAGCTCTATCTCAAATGACCACTAGTTATTTTTCCAACCAGCAAATTCAGGAATGCTACTAGCAATATCATTATTATTTTCTAAAATTACTGTTACTGTGTCATAATTAATTACTTCATGTATTTAAATGTTAATAAGTATATATCCTATTTATATGTATAAATCATCTGTGTCATGTCTTCAAATATTTTCAATTATCAAAACCCATTTTATCTACAAGTCACAATGCTTTTAAAAATTCTTTCTCATAAGTTAAAACATGTTGGACTGGGGCAAAATTAGAGTACTTCAGTTATGAGTACCTGGATTGACAGTTTACATATCCCACTGCTGATGGCCACCCTATACTAAAAAAAAAGTGTTTTTTTTATTTAACATCATGATTTAAATGCTGAAAGCTGGAGAAGTATTTAAAGGCAATAGCCCTAACATTTGGTTGACCATGGATGAATTAAGAGGAATGAAGAGGAAAAAACAACAATTTATGTTATTTTTATCTTATTATTATCTTTAATGAGCAACCACTTAGGCACAGTATTTCTACCCGCCGTAGTGGTAAAACTGCACTGCAGAGACTGGATGGTGCGAGTCTAGCCAGCTAGCCTATGTGCTAACCTTGGCAACCAATCAAATTAGTAGAAGATGCAGTTTCACAATCCACATTTCCTGATACTTAAGTCTGGGTATACCATGCAGTTCAAATGGGGAATGCAAAACCAGTATAGCACCGGTAAGTGAAACAACCTTTTTAATCATAATTTTGCAACACAAGTTACTGAAATGAATGTATCACAGGTATACTGATACTTGACAGTAAAAAGCTAGATATTTTCTTTCTGAAATGTGTACTAGCAATTTATTTCTTGTGCCTTCTAAGATTTACTAGCAAAACTTTAATTTTTAAACCTAAGTTGACATTTTTGGAAGATGATGAGACTAACTTTGACCTAGGTGGTTTTAACCAGTGTTAAGTTTATGGTTTAGGGCATCTTTATGAACACTTGAAATAATTTGGGTTTCACCAATGCTAAGTTTAAGGTTTAGGAAATCTTCATCGATGTTTAAAATAGTTTGGGTTTCACCAATGCTAAGTTTAAGGTTTAGGAAATCTTCATCGATGTTTAAAATAGTTTGGGTTTCACCAATGCTAAGTTTATGGTTTAGTGAGTCTTTATTAATGTTTAAAATAGTTTGAGTTCAACCAGTGCTACTTTTATGGTTTATGAACTTTTAAAATAGTTTGGGTTTCACTAATGTTAAGTTTATGGTTTAGAACATTTTTATGAATGTTTAAAATAGTTTGGGTTTAACTAGTGCCAAGTTTATAGTTAAGGGCATTTTTATTAATGTTTGAAATAGTTGGGATTTAACCAGTGCTAAGTTTATGTTTAAGGGCTCATATGACTGCTATTAAATTGTTATTTTCCAGCAGCTGGTAAACATTGTTATGTAAAACATGCTATTTTTTGTTACATTGTAATGCCAACACTACGAAATCTACTGACAAAAATAATATACGTTCACTGAAATAAACAATGTGCAATCCCAATAATATATTATCACTGTAGTAAATCTTATACACAATTAAACATTTTTTGATAACACAAAGCTGTAAAAATTATTCGTATAATATACTGAAGAATAATTCATAAAATTTAGGTTTGTTTTCTCTGTAATGAGCCCCTGCTCTAAATATTGTGCAAAGGAAATAACTTTTTGAGTTTCAAATGTTGCAACCACAAAACTTCCAATTAATAAGTAACAAAAGTAGTCTGTGAATATTTTAGATATAGCAGTAAAAGGTTTGTGAGTTATGTTTTGAAGAGCTTAAAATCTACATAACATATTAAACACCATGATGATCAGCCATATGTATAGTCTAGTTAAATATAAAACTATAGTTGTAATTAGGGGCTTATTAGCCATATACTGAACGTGTGTGTTTTCTGTGAAGTTCTATTAAAATTTAAGCATTGATAACGACATCCCAGATAATGTAGATAATTTGTTTTTTATATAAAACATACAAATCTAACAGATTGAAAACACATATAAACTCCCATATATATGGTAACTTTAGAAAATATTGTTGTATATTTTATCTATCACTGGAGATTACAAATAATTACATTTCAAAACTTCATTTATACCTATATATTTGCATCTAGGCTTCATTCCATTTCAGAACACTGTAGTATACTAATGCATGTAACAGATAAATGTCTAAATAGTTTGATCATGGAGTATATTTCATAGGCACAACTGAATAACAAGCATTCATATACGAGATCAAAAGTTAAATCAAATACAAAATAAATTTGTAAACATCTGCTGGAACTTAGAAGGTAAAATAAAATAACTCTAAAAAGTGTTTGTAGTTGGCAATTTTTATTTTTCCAAGTTTTACAGCCGTGAAATGAAACTTAAGGACCTTTCTATGGCCAGGAGAGCAAAATGTTATTTTCTTTGACTTTTGTTCTCAGACCCGTGGAAACCCCGTATACCTAAATTGTCTAGGCTGGCTGAACCTTATGAGCTATCATTAAGATATATGTACAAAATATCAACAGCAAATATTCCCTATTGAAGAAACAATGCATTTTAATCTTTATAAGTTAGAATGCAAGAGAATAATATTTAATTAGCTATACTTGTTAGAAGATTGATTCCTCTAAATATATAGTTTGCTCTGATCAGAAGTTAAAGTTGATAAGTAATAATAAAGCTTACTAAAAACAGTTATTATAAAAATTATCTTGGGAAAGTTTTATAATGGTTGGGTATTTCTCTAGTTTTATTGAGCTTAGAACTCGACTGTGTTGATAGTGTTACGTCTCTGTTCGTTTGTTAATTTGCCGTAGGAATTCTTTCCGAGAAAATTCAGCGATACGAGTCCTTTCTTAACTAAAACTAGTCTATTATTTCTCAATACAACTTTATAATACACAGAATTTCCACAGTCAATACGTTTGCAATGTCGATAACAAAACACACACTCTATATTACCATCACTACCGCTCACTTGACTCAATTATCTGTCTCTATCTCTGTCTATCTGCAATTATTATCTCCGCCTTATTTGCCGGGCTTATATACAAAAATAGAGGGCGTCTGGCAAACACTAGAGTTGCCAGGAACAGTCAAGATCTTTCTAGAAACTCATGTTGTGTTACCAGCGTCACGTGACTTCCGCTGTTGTAACAATAGTCTGTTCTGATATGAAAATGTTTAAAATAATTCTATAATATACACTAAGCTGTTTTAAACTTTGGATTTTTCTTACAGATTCCTTATCTAACTTAGACTTGGATGGAATGCTTTAGGAAACAAGTCCTTGAAAAATGGGCTGTATTTTTTTTTTTGCCCTCTACTTGCCAAATATCAAATAAGTTAGAAAATTATAATTTTTGGATCTTACTATGTGTATTGAAACTAGTCTAAATGTATACATGTTTGCAACGTTTTTATCACATGAAAACATCTAAATTTGAAAACAATTACTCGGATCTCAATAAATTTCAGTTTTCTTGGTGGATTCAATAACATTGCAGTCAAAACAAAGAAAATATAAAATTATTTTCAACCAATAACATGGTCTGAAGATGCACAAAGTTCATACTTTAAAACTTAAAATGATTTATTAAATAAAACATTTACTTCCTCAGCAAAAGCCTTAAAATGTTAAAAACATTCAGTAATGATATTTCAGAATTGTGAAATGTAATAATATTTAAGGAGTAATGTTAATGATAAGATCTACTCCAAGAAATAATGCTAAATTTGTATAAGAACTCAGGCTGTGAACAAAAAGATAAAAGTTCACTCAAATCCATGATTTGAAAACACCATATTAAATGACAGAATTTGTCTAAAAATAACAAAAATTAACATTTCTGAACTTCAGGTGAAAATGAAGACAATTACCAGTTGAAGTTGAAAAGGAACAAACTCAAGGCCAGCTACTATAGTACTCAACAGCTGGGTTCTCTGTAGAAAGAAAATGCAAAGGATTTCAAGACTTTAAAAAATATAAATACAGTTTTAAGTCCTTAGTCCAATTTGAAAGTTATCTCCTGTTAATTTCTCACAGCTGGTTATAACTTTAGTAAATTTTGCTTGTCATTCTCTAAATCAGGTATATCAAAATTGATATATAATCTTTCTTATGTAAAGCAACCATCAACATAGAAAGAAAAAATCATCCTAAATGTAACAGGTTATTCAAATGAAAAAGGGCAAGATCATGGATTAATTTTTATAATGTGATTCTAAATACAATATTTTTTCACACAATTGCATCAGAATAAATAACAGTCTTACCAAATTCAATGCAAAAAGTAAAAATACATTTGTATTCAAGTTTATCTGAAAACTTTACTTTAAGCCATGTAAAATAATTAGTTGATTTTTAAGCAACTGATTTTATAACCTGCAGGTGTTTTTACTTCTTTGATTACTTAACACATATATTGTTGTTTAAAATAAATACTAATTAGCAAATGAATATAAAGTTACATGATAAACACTTTGAATAGCCCATGACAAAGATTATTTTTTTGGATGGCCTTGATAAACAGTTGACATTTATGTTCAGTTTTAAATCAGTTTTTAATACAGATAGATGATTCCAAGTCCAGCGACCCTAAATGCAGAATGTTCCAAAAACCAACTATTCTGGTAAATTTTCCATTTGCTTGGAAAAATTCCTTATACCCATACTTTTTCTGGTTACCAATGCACACTTATGACTTGAAATTACTGAAAATGGCACTAAAAATTACTGTACAAATAGGTAAACACAAATAAGTAAGTAAAAATTTCTTTTAGGTAAAAAGGCAAACAAATAGTTATGTGGCTGGTGGAAGTGCATTTTTCATTAAGTATTGCAAAGAAGGTGGAATTATGAAGGAGATTGGAGAAGGAAGCCTCAGCGAAGAGGTTAAGTGATGAGTATGGAGTCAGTAACTCCACCATTTACAACTTCAAAAAACGAAAGGCTCAGCTATTGAAATTTTATGCTGACAGTGAATTACCAAAATGTATGGAAAAATTAAAAACATTGCAACAACCTAAGAATGCTGATCTGGACAAAGTATTGTTTGGATAGGTAAAACTTTGTAGGAGTGAGAAGGTTCTTTTACATGGTGGTATGATCATGGCACAATCCAATGTATTTCATGATGAATTAGGCCTAACAACCCCATGTGACTACTCTTCAAGTTGATTCACAAAATTTAAGAAATGTCATTGCTTATGATTGTTGAAAGTGTGGAGATAAATAATCAGCTGATCATGAAGCCTACAAGGCCTATTTTGATGAATTCTCCAAGATAATTTCTGATGATGATTTATTGCCAAAGCAAGTGTTTAATGGTGATGAAACATCCTTATATTGGTGATATATACCCAGAAAGACATAAGTTACAGCAGGTGAGTCAGTGCCCTCAGGATTTGTGAGCTCAAATGAAAGGTTTACAATTTTTGGGTGTTCTAATGCAGCTCGAACACACAAGTTAAAATTGGTAAAAACCAGGATCTTAGGGCTTTTAAGGGGGATCAGGATTTTCTCAGTGTTGCATAAGGCCACTAAACATATATGGATTACAACTGGGATTTGTTTGAGAATTATTTTGTCTCAAGCCAAGGCATGTTGTCGGTCAGTTGGTCTTCCTGAAAATTGTAAGATTCTACTAGTGTTAGACAACTGCTCTGCACATCCTGATGCAGAACTCCTTGTAAAAGACATTGTTTACAGTCTCTATATTCCCCCAACTGTACCTCTCTTATCCAATCCATGGACCAAGGAATCCTAAGTGCTGCTACAATGACAAATTTGTGTGGAAATGGCTAAATGCTTGCAACAGTGGCCAGGGAATTCAGGCATTCCAGAAGGGCTTCACCATCAAGAATGCTATTTGGTGTGCTACTAAGGCATGGGACAGGGTACCCAAGGACATTTTGGTACACACTTGGCATAACTTGTAGCCTTATACAATGCTCTTGAGGATGATGTTGAACATGATTTCTACGGGTTTCATGCTGCACATGAAAAATAAATTGTGCAAGATTTGTTGGAGTATGCTAAGAATTGTCATGTGAGGATTCCAGAAGGTTACAGGAACAGGATGTCGAAGAATGTATGCACGTAGACGATAGTGTCCCAGTGTTGACTCCACTCAGACAGTGAAATATTTCAAATGGTGATGAATCCAAAAATGAGAAAATAAATTAGAGATGATAAAGATGAAGCTTTGATAAAAAAAATTATAATGATAAGTGTATCAGCCTTAGCAAAGAATTAACAAAAGGTCTGGAGCAAAGGAGCTTTATTAGTGAACTACATATTATGAATGTTATTTTTTAACTTGCATGAATAAAAAAATTGCTGATTTTAGCCCCTTTTATGGTTTGTCATTTATAACTATTAAGACTATTAATGTAATTTGTATTTTCGTTGAAAAATCACATTTCATACTACATACACAACAGAAATCTCATCTACTTACTGTATTTTTACAAGGGAAATAAGAATAATGAAAATATAGTAGTTGGATCTTAAAGTTTAAGAAACATTCTGAGAAATGATTGTTAGATTTCATAACTAGTTATTTATGCTGTTTTCTTTTATATATCATCATAAACAAACCTAACAAGACCAGTTCTAAGCATTTTACATGTTAAAGTTTGGTTAGACATACAGAAATACGATTATTTAAAAGAATGTACTGAATTTTTGGAGATAAACACAATTCACTTTCTGAAAGGAAATTTACATTTGAGGGATAAATTTTGCATACTCTTAATGTAATAAGGGCATGAGTGAGAAACTGTTTTACAGTAACTAAAAACAGTTTTATATCTTTACACTGGTCATAAAACTAGTAAAATATTTGAAAACTAACAGTAAGACATTGACATCTTTGAAATACAAAACAATTAAATGTTCTTTTCTACATTGACTCATTTGTTTCTGTGCTGATGAACAGTGCTAAATTGTAGAAAGCATCCAACTTAATTAAAATGAGTAACATATATAGTAGTGTGAAAAAATTAATTCTATAGATTTTTCACACAAATTTAAAAGCAGTTGCTCTTAAAGCCTTATATCCGGTCACAGTGTACCTGTGAATGATGAAATCTCTCTTGCTCCTATTTGGCTCCCACCTTACAGTTACAACCTTTGTTTATATCATCTCTCCTGTGAGAAATCATCAAGCACCACATCATTAAATATTTCACAAAGAATTAGCACTAGCTCTTTTTTTAATTTAAAATTTTTCCATATTTTTAGCTTTACTTGATGTCCGACACTTCAAAATTGTGTTGCAACTTAAAAATTCCACACTAGATAAAATGCCTATATCAGACAATCCAATCAAATTGTTAAATTACTTTGAAAACAATTTTTCTTATACACTACCTGTTCATCTCTAAGTAATGCTGGTTGCATATAATATTTGCGAACTATTTTTGGGTTCTGAAGAAATGACCTAATGTAACCTTCCAATGTACTTTCATTTAAAGCATGGAAAAGCCAGGCACGACCCTTTCCAAGACTTGTGGTCACTAGCTCCAGTGCTTTTAGATATTCTTGGGTGTCTTTATGACAAAATTCTTGAACAAAAGACCAATAGCCCCACTGTAATTGTTTCAAGCTGAAATGTTTCCAAAATAGTGAAATCAATACATTAACAATTTATTTCAAAACAATGAGTATTAACAATATTTGTAAATGTTCAAAGATAAAGAATATTTTAACATATACACATGCATATATGATATAGATTTCAGGACCTGGAGTAGAACGATTAACCCTGACCTTACACATATAAATCTGTCAATTAAATGTGGGAAAAAAATTAGTGCAAAAAAATTGTGTACATTATACACAACCTACTATATATTAAAACATGTTTTTAATTTGTAATTAAAATTAAGAATTTTTATCATATTTCTTGAATTTAGTCTTATCACAAAAAGTTTTAATCTTCCTATACTGAAAATGTATTTCCCATGGGTACTTACCTCCTCTCACATAAATAGCTATTCTCGTTCTGTGCAGCCCTCTAGATGCAAAAAACATTTTTACACATGCCACAAGCCTTCTGCCTCCCCTCCATTGGAAATGACTCATTCCAATGTCTCTCTCTCATGGAAATTATCATGTGACAACTCTTCACAAATGAGAGTGCTACACACTCTCTTTACACATGTGACTCCCTCTATTCCATTCTACCAGACTATCATTTTGAGTTTTGGCAGAAATGGAAGCACCGTTTTTCAGTGGGGAGGAAGGGTGGGAAGTGTGTATCAGAAATACATTTTCAGTATAGGAAAATTATAACTTCTGATTCGGTACATTACTGCCACTCACATAAGTAGCTAGAATCCCACATTGAATAGGTGGAGGGACCAGTGGAAGGGAAAGGAAAAAGTATCCCTTGAAAGTGTCCGAAGGACACATCTTGAGAGTCAGATCCGAAGGTCTAAAGTGGGAGACCGCACCATGTCTGAACTAGGTATACTCTTCACCAATCGGAGAAAGGTGTGGTATAACATGGGCAGAAAAAAAGAGGAGCACATCAAATTTGTGGGAAAAAACAATGGAAGTGCCCTCAGGTGTAGAGTGGCTGGGACACAATGGACCACACTCTGCATGTCAACTACATCCAAAACCCATGCCACTGGGAACCACACATCTACACGGGGGTAGGATGAGTATTAAAACATCTTCACCTCAAGTTCAAGAGATCAGAGGGGATCTCAAAACCCCCTGACTCCGGAACAGGGCACATGTTACAAATAGAAAATGATATATCGATCTGGAAAACTGACATCCAGTGTCCAATAGATGTCTAACATAGAAAAATCAACTACCTCAATACTGAAACTGACTGGTACCAACCCAGGCGCAATAACATCCTCGGAATAAGATACATCGAGGGAGAGCAGAAAGGAAAGAACCATACCAATCCCAAGTACCTCCAATGTGATTCACAACACAGATGGACTATAACTGAGTGAGGAAGACAGACATAAGTAGTAAATGTGTGAAGACTTATGTTGATTGGTTTTACTCTAAATCCAAAATCTGGCCTCTGGGAACTGAAATCATTGAGGGGTTAGGATGAGTGATTCCAATCTAAGGGGTGAACTGCAATTTGATGTCTCATCCCTTTCATTTTCATATGCTTTATAGTGGAGGATTTCACATGATCTACACTAGCAGAACACCATTGCCCTACTCTGCACTGAATGGTATTTCTGTAATGATATGTTATTTCATTAAACCATTCAGGAGGATTCTTCCATGGTCCACCACCCCAGCAGCTTGGAACTGGAAAGTGTTAAGGACTCCCAAACTGTACTAGAAGAAAAGGGGGTGAAATGTGGTGGAGAGTCCAAAGGAATGTCAACACCTGAGACAGTGCAATGGGTGACCACAAAACCCTATTTTTAAAAGCAGACCATACTGATTTATTCAATACAAAGCATGGCAGGGATGGGCAGTTATCCCCTTCTGCTTTACACATGTAGTCCATGGGTGGTACGGTCCGGGACAGACATATGTTTGAAGCAATTCCATTATAAAGATAAATTTCAAGTGATCTTGTAGAACACCCAATCTCAAAAGTGTACATTGCATGGCTATGGAACATAATAAGCAAGTTGACATGGCTGAATTGTGTGAATTTTAAAGGTTAAAGAATACTTGGTTAGGCACTACTCACCAGAGAGTGGGATCCAGTAAAAAAAGAAGGACATGCCCCCAAAAAAGAAGATATATATATATATAAGAAAAGGTAACTTACCCAGTCAAAGTCTCATGAAAGAGTGAACAATTGTAACAGGTGAATGACGAAATCCCAACAAGAAACAGCTACTCAAAGCAAAGAATGGGAGAAGAACGTACGAGATGTAGTCCCAGTGCTCGACAGACAAAGTATCTTCAACTGACGGCAAGGTAGACATGCAGGGAAAAAAGGGAGGTGCAGGTTAGAAGTGAAGACACCCAGAAGTGAAGATAGGATAAAGGGTACAAGGAAGGAAAAGTCAATCGAATCACAATCTAAACCCAATGGGTAAGGGTGGAAGGGAAATATAACAGACAATGAAGTGGAGTAAGGGGAAGAAACATGTCGATAAATAACTTAGATAGGCCTGACACATTCTGTAGTGGAGGCCTAGAATACACTCCATGAGAAGGTAGAGGAAAACTGACAAATCTTAGTCATCTGAAAAACAGGTTCCTACATTATAGAAGAAAGACAAGCCATATTGGAAGCAGGTAGGTTTGGCCACAGCTCCCAGGGGCTCTCACAAACAAAATTAATGGTATGAAATTGTGTAGCGAAATAAACAGATGGATGTGATGTTCTGTGTTGAAGAAAAGATAAATAACCTAAATATTGAGAAACCCGTAAAAAGACCCACGGGTAAACTGAAATTAACAGACACTTATTAAGCCTAATCAATCAAGATATTTAATGTAATTAATGATTAATGCAGAAGTAGAACTATCGGTAAACTGAAAATAAACATTTAAAAATCCTAATTGAACAATACATAAAAAATATCACTAAGCCCTAAAAGAAATACTTAACCAAACAATAAGTATGTACAATATTGGGATAAGTTTGTGTGGACCCCAGCTCAAGAGTTCTAAACAAACCAAGTGAATAGGAATAAAAAAAATACAGTGAGATTAAGTATAGATACACAAGTAAGATGAATTACAGGTAATCCCAAAAATAAAATAACAAAGACCATGGTAAGCCTAAGCGATTGAAATAGTAGAAAAATACAACTAAGACTAATGGCTAACCTAAACTTTACTAGCTTATATGTTATGGAACCCAAATAACAACAGATAATAATATTAAGAATAAGAGTATACTGTCTTATCTTTCCAAAGTCAGCGAATGGTATTGCAAATGTGTGGGCCCCCAACAACGAGGTGAGGCCGAAGAAAGTCAGTTCACAGGACGATCAATCTCCCAACAAAGTAAAGCTGAAAATCTTACCACAGAGTACCGTGACCTGAAGCATGTGTAAAGTACTAATAGAACATATAACCCCCAAAGTCGTAATGGAAAATTTATAATGCAAAATGAATAACCAAACGCAACTGTGATAGGAGGTAATGTACCATATTGAAAGTTGTACGTATTTCAATCTACAGAAACAGTTCATGTCTAATGGAAATGATTAAGAAAATCACTGTACTCAACCCATCAGTTTGCTTTATAGACCTATAATATGAATATACATGTTTTACCTTCACATCTCAAAACTCGTATCCATTTGATTATTTGTAATATAAAACTTATTGAGGAACTAAGTTTTGTACATACTGTACAGAAAAGCATTGAAGTTAATATTTTCCAATACTAAAAAGAGGGAACCCTCAAAAGCCACAGCACTTGAAATTCTTTTAGGCAGGATTAGAGTAAATTAATCTATGAGACCTTTTAGTCCTTATTTTTGTGCACCAGCAATACCACACATGGGCACATGTATACCCGATTCAATTTTATTACTCAATAAAATCTCTACCAGCCTACCCTCTAATTGAAATTCTTTTAGGCAGGATTAGAATAAATTAATCTAAGAGAACCTTGGATGTAGTCAAATAAATAAATCGAAAGGGTCTGACTTCCTTAGTACAAAACTGTAATTAGATCTCAAATTGGTCAATAGATGATGGAGCTATGAACTAAATGCTTGTACGTGAAAAAAAAGAAAGAAAAAGAATGCAAAGCCGTTCTACGAGCCACTATGCCACAGCTAAAAATGTGCTTCTGATAGATACTCTGATAGTGGCTCCTACCTAAAGTCATGTGTTTCCATGTGATATTGCTGCATGCAAATGAACATGCTACAACCCTCCACCAATAAGAGTATGACACACCTTCCTAGTGCTACTGACTCCCTCTATACTAATTGTTCATTCATTACTTCGAGATTAGGCAAGAAAAGAAGATAACAGCAGAAATGAGGAAGAAAGGTGGGAAGTGTGATGGGGCGTGAGTATCTAACGGTAATAAATTTTCAGTGTTGGAAAATTTTAACTTTCTATATGATACACAACCTCTGCTAACATATAGCTAGAATCCCACATTGAAGTGGTGGAAGGGCTGGTGCAAATTTTTCTACCTAGCTGAGCTCCCTTTCAGAAGTGCCCAAAAGGAAATAATGGAATGCAACACCCTATATTGTGGAACAGTATAGGCGTGCACCTGTTGGAGACTGCACCTCATCTTTACCAGGGTATACTCTTTGCCTGTAACTGAAGAAAGTGATGTTAGGAGGAGCAGAAAATACAAGCACAGTCCCAAAATCTGCATCAAGCTTATGGAAGTGCTACATGTATAATGTGGCTATGGCAGGTCAGATCATACATGGTGGAACAACTCCAGTCCAAAACCGGGCAGCACCAGAAATTTGCCTTCTGGGCCATGGTAAAAGGAGGGTTCCTACCATTTTCACCTCAAGCCCAGTGAGGCAAGATGGGAATGTAACATCTGAACTGCAACTGAATGGCAACTTATGTTGGTTGGTTCTGCACCAATCCAACATCAGCCTATCCAGGAATCTGGATATGGTCTTAGAAGGACTGTTGGGATGAAGCTAAAAGAAGCCACTTTAGGTGGAAACCTTAAGGCTAGTAGAAAGTGAAAAAAAATTTGCATACAGAGGGCAGCACTGAATCAGGAAAGGTTATATGTGAGAAGAGGCTACAAATCATAATGGACAAATAGCTACAAAGTCATAAAGGAGGAAAAGCCATATATACTTCATTGTATATGCATTACACATAACAAAAGACTGTAATAAGCATCTTACCCATGTAAAAAAAGTTTGTCCAACCTCTCACATAGGAAGTGCACTTCTTGCAATTGTCCATTCAACGTAAAGTCTGGATTGGCTTTACTGGCTACATCATGAATCTGAAAAAGAAAACATACACACGCATGCATATATATATATATATTGACAACCACATATTGCATACACGTGTGTCAATACTGGAAAAATTTAAAAAAAGATTTTGATAACATACATAAACAAGTATTTAAACAAATTAAAAATCAGGAATGAAATTTCAGAGCTCTAACTACTTCTCTAAAAATATGAACTCAGATGGTATCTCCTAAATTAGACAACTACATGTACTATAGAAGTCCAAAAACACAGTTACAGTGCAAATTTGTACATCCAGAATAAACATTGCAATAATATGTTTAGTTACAACTATCTAGACCTATTTATAACCCTATAAGAATAAAGTTGGTCCATTTGAACAACATTGGAATTGTAAAACTATACATACATACAAAAGTTCTGAATTTACTGCAATGTATTTCCACAAAATTTGGCAAGATTTCAGTACACAATACAAATCTGTTGTACACAAAAACCAGATTTTTTTGATAAAGTATTTCTATTAAAGATTTGTCTGTGAATTTCCAAAGGTTTTACTCACTCAATCTGAGTGAAAGGTGACTTTCCTGCTAAGAATAAAAAATACTTCTTATCATCTTCCAGTTTCACATTTCATCTTCATAACCTCTAAAACCTCTTAAATTAAAATAAACCTTTAAGTAAAACTATATTCCATCTCTAATTTTTCTACCCTAATACTGTTTTGTTGACTCTCACAAATATGGGTTTCAGAAAAAATAAATTAATGTAGCTCTCAAACATGCATTTTAGAACACAAAAAATACATTAGGCACTAGATAAAAATGTTCCATGACTGCTAAAATTTGTCTGGATTTCTAAGTAGGCTATAAAAATGTAAAAAAAAAATTATATTAACTGTTCAGAGCAGCAAAACCATGATCATGATTAGACATATATATATCAAGTGAATATTTTCCCTGCCAAATTCAAAAGAATGGTTCTAAGCTTGACATAAAAGAAAACATGCTCATTCTATTACTTTTAAGCATGTTTTTAACCTCTTAATTTTTGAAATTAAGATGTTAAACTTAGACAATATAAAAATTTTAATTAAAAACTACATTTTTCCTGCCAATTTATTGACAAACATTGATAATAAAGTCATTCAATTAAATTTTCAATGTAATAGTAACACTGTAAAAAGTCATGACATGCACACTCTGACCCAGTTATGTTGAAAGAACTAAAGGGAAAAAGAAGGATATGGCATGCTTACTCAAAAAAATAAGTTATGACTGACTTTCAGTTTCAAAACATTTCCTTTTATATTAAGTATGCTGTAAAATACTGAAAACATTAGTTATAAGAATACTTAGAAAGACAAGTATAGTCAAGAGTGAACCAACAAGAAATGCAAAAGATTTGTGTGAAAACAATAACATGTTAGATAAAAATATAATTACAGTAAAAGGGTTTCAAAATGCCACCTTTGTCAGATTAAAGGTAAAATTTAGAAATAGTTTCTCTCTAGCTTCAAAGAAGTTGAATGGATTATCATTTTCCTTATCAGTAAAAGAAATATATATGAAAGTTGAGTAGTTGCACCATGTTCCTTCCCCCATAACAAATTAAACCTTAATAAAAGCTTTCTTGACTTCTTTTTTGTATTCAATAAAAGACAACAGAGTCCTTCATTTACTAGCATACATCATATTCTCATACTCTTAGAATTTTTTCAATTAAAAGTAATATAACATTGAGCCATTCAGCAAGTTTAACTGAATCACTAAACAACTTTAAACATTATTAAAATGTACCATATCTATATTAGCCTTCCATTAATTATCTTTTATAATTTCCAACAGCTTTTGAAAGTTGGTTGTTTGCCAGAACTTAAATGTTCCTACATATTTCTTACAAGATCTTGCACAGTACAAAAGAAAGGTCTAAAATAATATATTAATAAATTATTTTCTATTCAGATCTTCCTTATTACTAAACACAAACTCAAATTACATCTCTGCTTATAGATTACATGAATGAGAAAAAGTCATCCACAATCTTAAAAAATTCTTCTTTGAAGTGTGATGAAGTTACTTCCTCTAAAATTAAAGTTTATCATAAAAATAAGCTATAAGTATTATTACTGATTTCAACATTCTAATTCTAAACATTCAACATTCTTTTAAGCTTTTAGCCCACTTCTTTATCAAATAATAATAATAATCCTATGTTTTTTACTTTTTTAATATTTTTAAAAACCTTAAACCTTTTAAAGTAGTATCTTCATAGCATTCATTTCATCAAAACTTGGTAATACCAATGACAGTAACCATGCAAACAGTAGCTAATACCTCCATTTTGAATGACTTATTGAAAAAAAAGGTTGTATTAGTACAACACTAATCTATTTTCTTAAAAAACCTAATCAGTCTATAATACAAGTCAGCATTTTTCCAAACATACAATTTCATGACCTGTTTACAATTAAAAGAAAACCATTATTATGGAAATACAAATACAGCTCTTTACTACTTTTAAACCTGACTTCTAAATGTAACCAGCACACCTACTAATCCATACATATTCTCCTAATTTACCTGTTCTATTCCTGTGTCCCTTCTCAAGATGTTTTGCCCAAACCTAGCAGGGTGAACTCTTGAAAGAATTTCTACATCATTTCTATCCTTAAATCTTTGAAGGAGCTATTTTTACCTGGTTAATAGGTCCTCAGGTCTAATAACTCAGAACAGAAAGGAGCATTCTCTTCACAATATCTTGAACTTAAGCATTCAATATGTACAGGTTATTCCTAGTTTCCTGTGCTCCATAACAATCAAACTTTTCACAGTATTGAAAAACAATATCCTGCCCACAATATAATTCCTTCTCCACAATCTTAATCATAGACAATCAAGCCCTAAACCTGTTTTTTCACATCATTGTAACTTATTCACATGCATACTCATCCTCTTTTTTGTGTAAGCAGAACATTAATTCTTAATTTTCTGTTTCCTTTTTTAATTTGCTCATCTAACTTGCTTCTTTAATTCATGTGTTCAGCAATTTTTTCCAAATGTTTTCTCAAAGATGCTTTCCCGACATACAGACTTCACAGAATCATTCAGAATCTTTAAAAAACTACAGCTTAACTCATGATTTTTAAAACACTTGAAACATACAAATTGCAAGTACCATTTATTCCTGTGTGCAGCCACACAAGTAACCAAAATAAAAAAAGGCACCAAAAACAAACATTATGCCTAATTATATAAAAAAAGAAAAATAACCTCATAGAAACATTAAATTAAAAACCTTTAGGTCCAAATAAAAAGTTATTAAAAAAAAGACAGAAATTAGGCCAATTAAAAAAAAACATGTTTAGCGTCTGGAGTTTTTGAAAATAAAAAGGAAGAATGAGGTTTTTTTATTTAAATGACCTCTTTGAAAGAAAGTGCACCTTTTTTTCCATGATTGTTGGTTGTTTTCAAAGGGTCCATGTCAAATAGAAGTCGACTTTGCTTCATTTTTTTTCATCAAAACAATACAGAATTTATGACATAAAGAAAAGGGCAAAATGAATCAACTGTGTTCATCTCATTTTTATTCGAAAGTCTTCTTTGTTTCTTTGTATGATTAAAAAATGATAATTCAAACAAGGAGAAAAAAAAACCACCAAAACAAAAAAGTGAGTGGAGGCAGCTGCAAAAAAGGAAGCAGACAGGGATGCTAAACATATATATATTTTTTCTTTGGCTTTATACAAAAATATCAAATGTATTACCAGGAGATAACTTGTTTCAAAAATCTTCATATACAGCAATTGCTAAACAAAACTCTGTGAAGCAATTAGAAAGATTTGCATAGCACTGCATATATCACAGATATGCACAACCCAGAAAAAATACTCAATAAAATTGCTTGATTCAGATTGTTTTCTTCAAAAAATATTTTAATACTATATTTAGTATTTCTATACATTGTTGACCTTGAAGTGCTTCTGCCTGAAATGTTTTCTAATTCTACTCATGTAATTATTTTTCTGTCCAAATACTTCCAAAAGAAATCAATTTTTATTCTAAAACTTAACAAATGATATTATTTAGGCCTAATTTTTTAAAAAACATATTTTTACTAACAATATTATCACCGAACTGAACATTACTTACATATTATTCTTCGCTTTCACTCACAAGTTCTTAGAATTACTTTTATAAACTGTATAAAGAGAATTGTATATATTATAGATAATTCTAAAAATTGGAGATCCAGCTCACAAGTTCACTGTAACAAAAGCTGCACTGCATTTTGTGCAATGCAAGTATAAGGATTGAATTGCAAATAGTGTCAATGTGGATCATAAAGTGTGATGTAATACTGAACAAATTATTCCTTGAAATTCAATATAAAAAGAACAATAAAAAACCTAAAAGAGGCAATGACAAAGAAAAAAGTAGCCTATTTAAAAGAATAAAACTATAACTAATCCCTAACTAAAAGTAAATTTTAAGCACAACCCAGGACTATTAGATTAAACAATAACTCAAAATAATACATTCACAAACAAACTGATAGGAAAACAATTATTTAAAAAAGTAAAACTAATTCCTTATCAACACTTCAGCACCTTAAAAACAAGCTACAGATTACTTTATGTTCACAAATTAAATCTAACTTGCATGCATTCCATCAGAAAATGACTAAAAAAACTGAAAATTGTGTAATATCATGATTGCATGCTCTCCTGAGGCTCTACAATCAGCTCTATTTTCTCTGTTAAACTATTTGTAACAAAGTAGTTATTTACAAGCATTGTTGCTCCAAACAGTCTAGTCTCTTTTCAAACATTACAGCTAAGGTGAATCTAACTATCCCACCTCCCTAGTAGATGGTTCCAAATGTCAACAACATTGTGTGTGAAAACATGTGTATCCATATTAAGTCTGCTACATTATTTAATCTATGTGAGCATTTGCTCTCATAAACATTACTAAATTCAAAGTAAACAAACCATTTGTCAATCATCTATCATATGTACCAGCTAAAATTTTAAAACTCGCATTCACATCTTTTTGGAAATATCTATTCAAAGAATTTGGTTTGTAAAATGATATAAAAGCATGCATAACAAAATAACTATTCATAGGTACTAATATGTACTTATGATATTCACAAAGAAAACACTGTAGTAACCATAGATAACAATAAAATTAAAAGACGAAATAAAGTAACAAGCGTGATAAGTTTTAAATGACTTTAGATGTATTTATATTATAAAAAAGTTGGTGATGGCAAATTAATATGATAAATACATTAGTGTTAATGTACACATAGGGCTCTACAGTACAGCATTATCAACTGCATATGACATGAGAGTTGACTGTCATACATTTTGGTAGGAAAATGCTGACACTGATACTGAAATAGCTGTTTAAATGTGATGTTCAATGATAAATTTTGTCAGCAATTAACATTAATGGGAAAATAATCAGAAATATATACTACAAATAGGTTACTGGTTTCTATGCCATTAGATCAAAAGAATATATTTTTTGCTACAAAAACATTTCCTACTGCATACTGGAAATAAAAAAAAAATTATACTGCACTATTCAACTTGCAAATGTTAACACATGTATAAGATAGGAAATAATTACTTAATTATATAATTATGTACATATATCTGTAATGGAGAACTCTGGCATTTTTGTGTTACTTTTGCTTCATTATCCCTCTAATAAATACCTTTCCTGCCCCACTGTCTATGATTCGTGAGAATCCTTCTTTTTGTTGCAAAAGTTTTTTTAGAAATGACTTTTTCGGTACTTCAGCAGCTCCTTGCATATGCTTATGGACAGACATAAAATTTAGTAAATTTTGAAATACAATATTTGGTACAATTATAAATATTTTTATACAATTACTCAATTAGCTAATCATTTATCTTTTGCCAATGTCCTTAGTGTCAGATGTTACTAAAAAACAACGTTATTATTAACGCCTTATTTTACAACATCAACGGTTTCAAAACAAAACGATCATATAACTAATCACTAAATTATATGTTTAAATTGAAAGACTTGAAATGCGTTACCTCTCTAACAGCAAGTTGAACACTTCTCAAGAGCCTGTCTTTACTCTCATCACTAGCGACTAAAGTTGCAACTGTTTCTATAACTGGTACACTTCCAATTGGTGAAACCATCACGGTAGACATAGTATAGTAACACAAATGAATTTCAAACAAAATTTAATAACTAAAACTAATTCAAAACATGAGCCTCCACACATAAGTTCCTAGCAGTAAAATTTAAACAATACATCGCCATTTGTCACCTGTACTTCTACTAAGCTGTCACCTAGTGTACAAAAACAAATCATTTATTTCTCGATATGTCTTGGAAAGTCCAGAAAACAGATCAACATAAAAATGTACAAATAGATAATAACGGGCTATAATTGAAATGTAGGTAAGGCTGGCTTTTTTATATTAATTTTAATAATTGAATAACTGTTTCACAAGAGATTTTAAGAACACAGGCTATAGATTTTTAACACAGTGGCGTAGCAAGAAGGGGCAGTCGCCCCCGGGCGCAGGTGTAAAGGGGCGCAAAATTTCCTGTGGCCTATAATGCCTATTAATTAATAATTATGCCCTCCCCTAGGATATAGCGCAACTACCCTACGTTAAGTAAATACGACAGAGTGTTACACTATTTGTGTGTATTACGCTTGCAGTTTTTACTTTTAAAAGCCGCCCACTGAAATACACAAGTAAATTACACTATTCCATCATTCATCTGTAGATCAAATACAAGTCCTAGAGTACAACATACAAGCAAGTGTATGTTCAACAAAAAGAAAATACGAGATTGATGTAACATATTGTTGCGTCAGCGAGGTCACGTGACTAGTGTCACACCACGTTTTTTAGAAATATCCAGTTCCTTCGTGAATGCCCTAGCATTTACTAGATTGGGGGGTAGTCTGGTATATATAAGATGGTCACAACGTGATGGGACAATGTGTAGTAGTGAGTAATTGAACTGAGTATTGTCGAGCACGTGAGAATTATAGCGTTTGTTACAGAGCGACTGTTGAAGTTGAGTGTATCGTAAAGTTGTATTCGGAAAGAATAAACCAGTTTTATTTAAGAAAGGACTTGTGTCGCTAAAGTTTCGTCGGAACGAATTTACGGAAAAATTAATTAACAAACGGAGACATAACAAATTGGTGTCAGAAGTGGGATAAAAAATGGAAACGAGAAGCGGAAAATCAAACTACAGCTTAGCAGACTTAATGACAGCAATACAAGAACAGCAAAAGAAACAAGAAAAACGAGAAAAGAAATTACAACAGTTGTTAGAGGAAAAGAAAAGAAACAAGAAGAACGAGAAATTAAACGAGAAGAGAGATTACAGCAGTTGTTGGAGGAAAAAGAAAAGAAACAAGAAGAACGAGAAGAGAAATTACAGCAGGTGTTGGAGGAAAAAGAAAAGAAACAAGAAGAACGAGAAGAGAAATTACAGCAGTGGTTGGAGGAAAAAGAAAAGAAACAAGAGGAAAGACAACAGCAGTTACAAGAAAATATACAACAATGGCAGCTCGAACAGCAAAATAAACAAAAGAGATTACAGCAGTTGTTGGAAAAAAAAGAAAAGAAACAAGAAGAAAGATTACAGCAGTGGCAAATGGAACAAGAAAGGAAACAGGAAGAAAGTCAGCAGCAACTACAGGAAAGCCAACAACAATGGCAAGAAGTACAAATGGAAAACATTAGTAAATTTAAAAGCGAATTAGATACATTAAAGGATGATTTATTGTATTTTACACAAGGAGGATACATTAGCCATCGACTTAATCAGCCCCAGACAATGACAAGACCCTTCCAGACCCCGCAGCTAAACCCTAATGCAGACATATTCAGTCCTGTT